ATGTACAAAATCAGATCAATGCCAATAGCCATCCCTGGGAATGAATAACGCTTATCTGGGAGCTTGCTTGAATCTTCTTTTCAAGGATTATCCCAGTAGCCCATTTTCACCCATAAAGTGATCTATGGCTCATACTTGCTGGTTCATGCTTGGAAATTCTGGAGCACTTTCTCTGTAAATATCAGATTATGAATCTGACAAATGAGAAGACAATATTCAAGTGGGATATATTTGCATATAATCAATTCGCTAGCAGTTAAAAATCTATAGTTTTGATGCACCATGCAATTCTCTGTGCCGTATCCTAAACTGTAAAATATATGAAATTTACCCCACCTGTTCCATCACGCCTACTTACAGACATCCTAATGGCTAAGCATGTGGGCTCATTTCTCAACATCTTTTTAATCTTATTCCAAATGCTGCCTGACCCAACTCCATGAAACTTCAAACACAGAACATTGTCTCTTGCCCTTCTATCTAAAATGATGGTGACTCAAATCTTGGCCATTTAGCTTAGAAATCAATGTAATTTATTGCTGTTATAACTATATATAATCCCACCCATGCTGGACCAGATGCAAAGAGGCTTTGTTGCTGTCATTATGATTTTTCTGCTTTCATTTGGGTAAATATATTTGTAGTCATGATTTTGGAGATAAACCAGTAAAAAAAAATTAGCTCATTTTTCCTCTACACAATATATTGTCAGATCATTGCTTACAAAGGGTTGGTGTAAATGTCTGCACCACAGTAATGATACTGAGTTTTATATTTAGATTCAAGATAGGGAGATTTCAAGGGCATGGCAATTTAGCTATATATGGGTTTGGAATCAATGTCGTAAAATTGGTCACAAAATTTTTTATGACACAGAAAGAGCAAAATGTCTTTTTCTTTTCTTTTTTTAAGGAATAAAAGTGCTTCTAGATCTCTTTTGGAATAAAGTACAATTTTCAGGTTCACATTTGAAAGGATTATTAATGCCATTTGCAAACACCAACAAAACAGACTGAACAGAGAGATCCCTCTGGAAAGAGGTTAAGCAAATCATTGAATTCTCCAATCAATAGGAGATAACATCTAAATTCCAGCTTCAAGGCATTGTATTCTCCGGATCACCATGAGATGAGCAAACACAGAACATTAAAGGATGCTTAAGTACTGACTGACACAGAATCTGGTATGTCCTCTACCTGGAAGCCAGATGTAGCCTCTAGGATTTTCCAGAAGACATTCTAGAAGAGGTTGCTGCCATTGACACACAAGAAAGGCAATTGTTCCCCTTGGGAAAGAACTTTCTATGGAATTTAGGCCCTGGGACCAAAACCTACAAGGCATTTATTACTAGGTGATATGATAATTTTAATAAAAGTTGCAATAACCATGAAAATAGTGTCTCTAAAAATCTATGTACTATTAGTAACAATGCATGCATAGTGCCAAGCATTCATTAACTATTTGGTCATAAAAATATGTGACTGTAATTATGATATTTACAGCCAACGTATAAAAATACATCTAATTCTGAATGGCAATGGTTAATCTCTAGCTCTATCCACAAGCCTAGAAAGATTAGCTTATTATGGGAAGGTGCAATGGGTAATTACAAAATGGACAAAGCTCTCACTCTCTTGAATTCAACATTCAAGAATGGCTATTATAGCAACATAGGAGCTTCATTTGTCACAATTCTTCTTCTAAGCTCACAAGGTAAAACCAAAAATTCTGTGGGAATAAATGGGAATTAAATGGGAAAGGAACACTCACATGATACAACCACAGTGGAGAATAATTCTTTCATAGAATATTCATGCACAACTTTCAAAGAGGTTCACAGTCCCTGAAAGAATTAATTGGATGACCTTTAAGTACACCCTTCATTTAGAAAAAAGTCAGTAAGGTTGAAGTTAACATATGATTACCTTTAAGTATAACAGGTTAAGAATTTAACTTGCAGCCAAATCTCTTTCTACAATTTAAGTGAGTACTTCTTTGAAGCTTTATTAACCATTGTGGAGAGTAAGCTCTTATGGTTTCTCCAATTTAAATGTAAATTCTGATGGAAGAAAACAAATCCACATTCAGTTTAAATTGCGAAAAGCTGTGGTTTTTACAAACTTGAAACCTCTCACTTTAAGGAAAAAACATCTTCCAACAAAATAAAATATTCTACATATCTGAGACATTTCCTGAAGGTTTCTTCTCTTCTAGGAGTTGATTGACCATCTTCTAGCAGTAGATAAGTTCCTTATTTGGACACCATCATTATTTCACAAGTGGACAAAGAACAGGAGGAAATTTAAAAAACCAGGGAGAATTGCACACAAGCTATTGAAAAAGGCAGAGGTTGGGTGTTAATCTGCAAATCATGATCTCATATTTTAGAATGTATTTTGGCATTCAGTAAATGGAATTCTTGGAAACATCTGTTCCAGAGTGAGGTTGGGAGGTCATATGATGCTGTTAGAGTCTTCCTGGACTTAAATTACTGCCTGGGGCTGAGTTAGGGCATTTTGAGTGGTATATTCCAGAACCGGAAATTCCATTTCAGTAATTTATTGCTACAGTTCACTAAAGAGTACCATGGTATCCTGGAAAAGAAAATGTCCTTCTAAAACTCCACACCTCTAGTCCCTTGAAAAGTGAGAAATTCATATTTATCTTAGTCACTCTAATCCTTGAAGATATAGCTCTCAAAAGAACTCTTTTTCCTCTTCCAAATAGACACTATGTAAATGACATTAGAAATATCAGTGGTTTGGCAATATATGCCACTATCCCCATATGCATTTGGCAACTGGCATGCTGGATTCTTTCTTTATGTATCATCCTGCAACCTTCTGTGCATGTGCAATTGTAGGTAATTAAGGAAAAAGTAGGCAAGCTTTTTAAAAATTGGTAAATGCTTGGGAGTATGGCATGACCTGGAAAGAAGTAGAATGATACGATAATGGATTTCCTCAGGTGATTACCTCTTATCTTTTAAAAGAGATGTAAAGAGGGGTAAAACAAATCTTCACAAGTAATGAGCAAACTGTGAAAGAAGAATCCCGCCCTCCACCCCCACCCTCCATCAAAAAAACACAACCAATTCTTCAGAAATTTCTGCTTCAGATATGAGATCATGGTCTGCATGTCTACTAGTGCCAAACGCCAGTTCATTCTAGCAGAGCAGTTCAGGAGGTAAAAGGCTAGGGTTATCTGTGACATGACTTTACATATAATGCAAGAATAATAACCCTATGTTTATGGCAATTATTTTCCATACTCGATCTATTGATATTGTGACCAGATGAACACAATTGAAAAGACATACATCATTTCTAACAGGAACTCAATTGCGTCAAGGTAGGACAAATCAAACTCCATTTAATAAAATAAAGTCTGGCTAAAGTTTTTTTTTATTTTATTTTAGAAACAGTTCTCCTTCCCCTTAATATTGCGGTAAACTCTTTATTTGTAAAAGGTACACTGTTTTATTACTTCATTCATCCATAAAGTTGATTTCCAAAGACTACATCTACTATATCTCTTTTCTGAACTTAACTGAGTCCAGGAGATTGACTTTTTTTCCTTAGATTTAATATTTGAGATTCAATTAAAGTATACAACCAAAGTTAGTGGAAAACAGTTGCTCTTTTTCAGGTAAAAGAGCTTACTAACAGATTTTATAATCATTGGATATTTGTTCAGTCCTACCTGAAAATTAACTTATTCTACTACTTGGCACAGGAAAAGGCATTTTCTAGTAACTTTCTGTGACAGGAAGCACAGCATTAACCCAAGTAAGCATCCAACAAACTTAGTCTATCTGCTGGGGAGCAGTTCTAAACTTTAGCTTTTAAACTTTTTTTTGAAAAAGAATTCAGCCGCCATTCCAATTACTTGCCACCTGTGGAAAGCTACAATCACCCTAGAAGGTGGGCCTACCGAGGAGCACTTTTCAGGTAACAAGAACAATGATACGGCAAGAAGCTACAAAATGATATTTCGATAGTTGCAGTGACCACCACAATAGTGAGCGTGGCTTGGGTTAATGTTCCAAATATCAATTCAAGGAACACAAGAGATTTTATAGGATTAGAATATTTTCTTTACTCTGAGAACCAATAGATGGTGCATGATGAATGGTGATGGTCCATTTACTCTATATCATTCTACTAGTTTCCTAGCTATGCCTCCTTTCTTCTATAGTAATGTTCTCTCTTCCATGGCAGTATATTTTTATCATCTAAAATGAGAACACTATAACTATTGCATTCTCTCTCTCTCTCTCTCTCTCTCTCTCTCTCTCTCACACACACACACACACACACACTAACTAGCGCACCCTTATACACACATGTATAGACAGTACATATAAAATGCTCATTTGCAGTGGTTGAGCTCCCTGAAAGCAGCCAAATCAGCCTCCTTAATTACAGAGAACCATTTGAAGCCAATAAAAAAAAAGTCAACTATTTAGCTCTAACACAAGATTTTAAACCTTGTCCATGTGGCAATTAATTCATATGTCCTTTGTGTTTTTTTGCTAAGTCTTCCAAAGCAAGAATCTCAAAGACTGACAACATGATACATAGAATCTAATAGAGTCACATCTCTGATCATTTTGCTTAACACAGTTGAATGATACTCTTGCTGCTGAAACACGAGTTGATTTTGAATGGCCATGAAGGCTCCTTACTTGGCTAAGGCTGATTTGACTTTCTAGAGAAAGACCATCCTATCTGCAAATGGACATCTCCCTCCACACAAATGCCAATGTACAGTAAAGACACATCTAAGTGCATATATATATGTGTGTGTATATATATATATGAATGAAAGTATATGTACACAGAAAATGGATTGGGAAGTCCTTTGGTTTAGACGGGATTAAATATGTACTTCCCAAATGCATAGGTTTCCTTTGACCAACCTGTTCAAAAAACAAATATGAAAAATGCCACGACAGTTTTCACATTTTCTATGTCTATTTCCCTATTTGGAGGCCCCCTTCCCTCTCTTCTCCATCTCTCCTAAGCATTTTCTTTTTGAAAGCAGTTGGTTCTTTTGGACTTCTAACACTTCTTTGACCCATCCATTCCTTGGAAGAGCTCTAAGATCACATCCAGAAACTTATCTTTAGTGGAGAACAAGGTGGAAAAGAAGGTTTCCCCTTCTTTGATTCCCTCTTTCCCCCAAGAAGTGGACACCTTGATGTGTCATGAGGAATTCACTCTTGATCTGACTTGCCTTGTTACCCCTGGCCAGCCCAAGCAGCTGAGGTCTGAGCTTGACTCGCCCTGCATCGTTGTGCCATACTGGAAAAGAAAAATAATCCATTAGTTACACCTTCAGACTGTGGTGACGTGATCGGGGTTCTCTTGAATTTCTATGCATTCGATTTCCTCTCTCTCCTTTCGCTTGGCACGTTTCTTTTTCTTATGGTGCTTTTTGGAAGGGGGGAAAAAGGTTAGGAACACGGGTAAGATAACAAAACAGTGCAGAAGTGTGCAACCCCCGGTGAGCAGCAAGCATTTGAACAGTGTGAAGGTCAGGTTCGAAGGCACAAATAGGAGGGGGACCAACCCGATAAGAAAAGAAGTAATATTTTGCAAAATGGCTGTCCCATGCTCTTGCAGGGAGATTTTTATACATTGTGTTCGGGTGTGCTCGGTTGCTAATACAAATGTGTAAAGCAGTGGTGCACAGTGGTCAATGGCGAAATTTAAAGTGTAGATAAGGCACAAGATAGAAATGCAATCCATGTCGACGTTCCATAATGTCATTAAGCCCAGGACCCCCAGCTCAATTGAGGTGACGCTAAGAATTAGCCAGAAGTTTCCCAGAGGGTGGATCACTAGGAAAAAAGTCAGGATTAACACCAGGAGAACACCAAAGCCTGCGATCAGAACAGGCACTGTGACCGACAAGCCGTAATGGTCCATGAACACAAAGGAGGGGTTGAACACGATGAATCGGATGCTCTTTGACAGGGACAGGGGCCTCAGCTTTTCCAACACTTCTATGACTTCCTTCTGCTTGTCTCTGCTAGTCCTGGCCACCAGGTACAAGCGAGAAGCAATGATGTTGCTCTCATCCCCTGCCTTGGAGAAGATGATGTCATTGCGAAAGTGCTGGAATTCTGGCTTTTTCAGAAATGAACTCTGCAGGACACTGATAAAGTCGCTCTTGTTATTGGCACTGATGTTGCTGACTTTCAGGAACTGGTAGTACTGCTCCACCCAGGACATTGCAGTGAACCCACTGCAGAGCCTCCGCAGGTCCTCCTGGACGGTGCTGTTCCAATACTGGAGGGGCTCATAGACGTAGAAGCCTATCACGGGGCTGTAGTTGCTGAAGTATTTCTGCTGGACCGTGGCATAGGAAACACTCGGGGAATCACTGGCTAGCAGATTGATGATGTTGGCTCTGTCACTGATCTGCAGGCACCCCATGAAGGAGAAGGAGGAGTAGATGAGATAGAGGATGACAACAAAGGGCTTCACATAGATATTAGTAATCCATTCATTGTAATGCTCACGGAGGAAGTGCTGAATGAAGTGGTGCTGGTAGGGGTTTGTCTCATGGTGGGATGTCTGCTGATGCCCGTCACTCATCACTGTCTGGAACCACACGGGTTTGCGGTCCAGGTATTCTGCAGAAGGGATTTTACAGCAAAAGATGCTGTGGTAGCGGTTTTGCTCTAGTTGGCCAGCGAAGACCAGACAGGAACCAAAGAAAGAAAAAATGTAGAAGTAGTTTAACAGAATGGAGACGCACATGTTCTGACAGAAGACCTTGACAGCCTCTATGTTTGTGAATGGGCTGGCACCCATGCCAAAGGTAATGAGGTACAGGGAGCTGGTCATGGTATAGGTGACCATCACATCAGAATAGGCATCTGCTACCCTGTCTTTGAAGGGCAGATTTTCTCTGGTTCTCCGCCATCCAGACAGAAGCTCAAATACTCCTTTAGTTCCATGACCTAATTTAAGAAAAGAAGAAGAAGAAGAATTGTTTTTTATTTTCTCCTATGTGAATTCAAGTGAATTCCTGATAGGTTATCTAAGGTAAACAGTACTTTATACTCTAATCCTCCTATCAGGATCTCAGAATTTGAGTTACATAGCAGGACATATTTGCTCCATGTTCCCACTTTAGGAAAGTCCAGATTTATTTGTTGGAAAAAATGAAGTATTTATTGTCCATTCTATTAATTTGACAAGTTGTAATCTAATGTGGCATTATCTGCGCGCACACACATTGTCTCCTTAAATGGATTATAAATTGTCAAGAGGAGGGGCTGTTATTCCTGCATCTTCAATGCCCTTCAACACCAACTCAGTGCTTGATCAACTGATGTATTGACTGATAGTCCCTAACCTCCATTTCAGGCTGATTTACATTCTGATTTAGGAAATTAGATGATTTTAAACACTTAAAAATGGCTTTAAATTGATTTTACAATGTTAATAATCTGCTTGGTGGCCAAATGGCTTAGAAACTGATTCCTATAGATTTGATTTACACTGGATGTGCGAAAAAAAATCTGCCAGGTCATATAAAAGATAAGGCAAGACCGTCAGAGCAAGAGATTACAGCCAGCATTTCCTCTGGGCTCCTCAGAGAGCCTTTATTCACAGAGATGTAAACTGACTAAATGTTTGACTGCCTCATTAAAGTACATAGAAAATGCTTCTTTTTGTAGCCAGCTTCTGTGCACATTTTGATAAGGGTAAATAGACAAAGAAAGTTTATTCAAAAATACTACTTGAACACCTACTTTGTGTCTGAAGCTAATAGGTACTGAGATGTTTTATTTCAGGAACTTGACAGCTCTTAAGATACCACCACTTGCTTCTTTCTTACAAAATCAGAAATCATAAGGTATCATACTATACCTGCAGTTTCTCCCTCTCTTTTTTCCACTTGCCTGAGTTAGCTCTGTCAATGATCAGCCACGATATATCAGTCGATAACTGTCTGCCTGAATGGAAATCTTCATAGATCAGTCTTGCCCTTGTAGCCATAGCAGCACTACAGACAAACCTTTTCCATGCATGGACAGAAGCTGTGCTTGGGCTGTTCTCCAAGAAATCCACTAGACAAAAAATGTAGCATAGAGGTTCCAAATGAACGAGTTTAAGAAAACCTGGAAAATGGACTTTGTGTGGCACCTAGAGAGTGGAGTTCTGGGTTATAGACCCAGTTTACTTAGTAGTGCTTTAACAAACATACTATCATGGCTGAGGTCTCACTGTAATCATTGATTTTGAGCTGTTCATAGAGTTTGCTAACTGGCCTACATAATTCCTTCCCTTCCTTGTCACTTTTATTTGGAACTACAATGTGCACAATTAAAAACTTTATTTCTCAGCCAACCTTTCAACTAGGGGTGCTTCATGTGACATATTTCTGGACAATGTGATGTCAGAAGAAGTCATTTAAGGATGCTTATTAGAAAACCAGCCGGAGCTTTGTCCCAAATGACATCATGGAGCTACCAAAAAGAGCCTTAGCCTATCTTCCTCTTGGATTCTCTTTAAAGAAAATCAAATCTCCATTTGTCTAAATGGCTGTAAGCAAGGCGGTTATATGCAAGTGAACCTACTCCTAACCAACCACCAAAAAGAGTCTTAGCCTATCTTCCTCTTGGATTGAAAATCAAATCTCCATTTGTCTAAACAGCTGTAAGTAAGGCGGTTATATGCAAGTGAACCTACTCCTAACCAACAAAGTTTTGTAGGTGAGTTAACACCTACCCAAACTTGTTTTATGGGGATCTAAGAATTCTTGCTTTATAGTTAGACTGTGGAATTTATAGGTTTAAATGTATATAATGCTGATCTTTGATTTTAAAGATACATTGGTCCACCTACTCTGGGAGTTACTATTAACTATTAATTGTTATTGCACTGGAGTTATTATTCCAAATAAAAACCTATTTATTCTCCAAAGTTCTCTCTTCTGGGTCTCTAGTCAGGAAAGATCCTGTAACCGAACAAGTAGAAAGGGTTCTGACAGCAATCTCCCTTCTGGGTATCTACCTCCAAGCTCAAAAATATTTATTCACAAAGACATATGCATTGTTCATTGCAATATTATTCACAGTGGCCAAAATATGGAGACAACCAAAATATCCTTCAATAGAGGATTGGATAAATGATATGGTACATATATATACCATGGAATAGTACTCAGCCATAAGAAAAGATGAAATACTGCCATTTACAACAACATAGAGGGACCTTGAGATTATTATGCTAAGCAAAATAAAGGAGTCAGAAAAACCTAAGAACCATATGATTTCACTCAGATGTGGAACATAAAACTGAAACTCATAGACACAGACAACAGTATGGTGGTTACCAGTGGGAAGGGGGTGGGGAGTAGCAAAGAGTAAAGGGAGCCAAACATGTGGTGACAGAAGAGGATTTGACTTTGGGTGGTGGGCACATAATGCCATGTGCAGATCATGTGTCCTGGAGGTGTACACTTGAAACCTATATGGTCCTATTAATCAATGTCACCCCAAGTAACTTAATAAGAAAATTACTAACCCAACATATATGATCACTAAATTAAGTCTAATGATTCTTAACATCAATTGTTAATTTCCATATTCTGCAAGTCTCCTTGACCAAACAGGATACTTGTTCTCTTATTCCCTTGACAAAAATGTAATATTAGCATATTAGTTAAGGTAATTAAAATAATTCTTTAAATAGAGCACTTCTCTTCTGAAATGAGGACTCTTGCTATCTTTGTAGCCACAAGGGGAGGGGAAAGGCTACGTGGGGCTATAGCTAAATTTGTCTTGCCTTTGCTAATGGTCACTTTTATGGAATATTAGGTACACTATGTAGGCCAGCGTGTTGTTTTATATAGCACCAAGGTCTGTATGTGTAGGAAGATGTGCTAAACTGTATTAGGTTAAGTAAAGATTGAAAACACAATTTCCAAACTTTGTTTGGAGATGGCATGTTTTATCTCATTCATAGGTTTAGGTATTTTACAAGGTATTTCTATCAATATTCACTCATTTGATTCTCATCATCATTAGGTTACTTCCTAGCAGTTCATATCTCTTACCTGCTTTAGCCAGGGTAATCTTCTTTCTCCATGAACCTGCCCATGATTAGTCTTATCTTCTTAGTTTTGTTCACGCTACTTTTTTCTGCCATATATAACACCTTCTCTTCATTACTGGTCATTTAATTGAAATTCTATCCATTGGACAGTTAAGGGTCAGCTCAATTCTCATCTTTGCCAAGAATCTATCTCTGAAAATTCCAAACACATTGATTTTTTTCTGATTCCTAAACTCCATTGCATCTAATTAGTAATTCATTTAACACACAATGATGGGCTGTTTTGCTCTGGAACAAAATGACTTTCTCAAGATATGGTCAATCTCTTTGGTTAGATTGAAAATTCTTCAAGGTCAGAGAATGAATTTTAGGTTACTTTTATACTCTGCAGAACATTTGGCAAAGTGATAGATGACCAGAGATGTCCACTAACCTCTTATTGAATTAAATCAACTGTAATTCTTCTTTGAAAATATGTTTTTATTGATTTTTTTAGGGAGAGAGGAGGGAGATTGATAGAGAGATAGAAATATCGATGAGAAACATTGATTGGCTGCCTCCTGTACACCCCCCACTGAGGATTGAGCCAGTTCTATTCCTGGGCATGTGCCCTGATCAGGCATCAAACCAGTGACCTCTTGGTTCACGGGTCAATGCTCAACCACTGAGCAACACCAGCTGGGATACTATAATTCTTGATTCTAGATGGGCTCAGAAAATGTATGTATCTTTTAAATACTTATTCTTTGTTATAAAAATAATATACTTAAAGCATAGTATTATCTGTGTCGAGAAGTTATATACTTTGTAAAAATTAATTTATTTTCTAATTACTGTTGATATACCATATTATATTAGTTTCAGTTGTACAACATAGTGAATAAATATTTACTTACCTTATGAAATGATCATCCAGGTACATCTAGTACCCATATGACACCACATATACTAGTATTTACTAAAAAATTATTGACTATATTCCCTATGCTGTACTTTACATCCCCATGACTATTTTTATAACTGGCAATTTGTGATTCTTAATCCCTTTTACCTTTTTTTTTTTTTACCATAACCTCCAGCTTCTCTCCCATCTGGCAACTATTAATTTGTTCTCTGTAGCTATGAGTTTGTTTCTGTTATGTTTGTTCATTTATTTTGTTTTTTAGATTCCACATATAAGTGAAATCATATGGCATTTGTCTTTCTCTGTCTGACTTATTTCGCTTAGCATAATATCCTCTAGGTCCATCCATAATGTTGTAAATGGTAAGATTTCATTTTTTTATGGATGAGTAATATTCCATTGTATACACAGGGGGAGCAAAAGTAGGTTTACAGTTGTAATACAAATAAATAATACATAAATAATGATACAAGAATAAGCTCTGTTTTGCATGCTCAGCAGAGATTAGCTTGCTGTTATAGCAGATTAAGCTATTGTCCAAAACATATATTTTATTTAATGTTCCAAAAGATGACTGAAAAATTTTGATTATAACTCCTTTCCACTATATTATAATTTACAAACTATGTCAGAATAATATAATATGTATCTCAGTTGTGACATTATTGAATAACTATTATTTCTTTTGGCAAAATTTCATGAAAGAAAATAGAAAAAGATCTGGACAGAGTTGAAACTGGGAGAAAATTCAAAGAGGAAATGGATAGAAATAAAAGACTTTCTGTGTGTGTGTGTGTATGCGCACATATTGAATATTCCAAAAGTCTTCGGGTATTTTGTTGGGGAAACTTCTTTCTAAATGAAAAAAAAAATGGAAGCATTGTGCAATAATAAGGAAAACATACATGAAAGCTTGTGAACATACCTGTATTTGTGGAAATCACCACTGGTCTCAGATGAAAGAGCATTTTGACTTTCTATTGAGCTA